TCTGACTGCTGATAGTGTGGTCTATCAAAAACATGCAAAAAGATAAATAATATAAATTATTATTATAAAACCATTGTGTTAGAACCCAGAGGAAAACCCCTGTTATTTTGGTATATTTCTTATTTTCTATATGCATAGCAAATTTTTGTTTAAAACTATATTACACTTATGCATTTTGATCTAAAACCTATTTTTAAAGACATTATATTAAATCATGTGGGTGTCCTAAAACTTAACTGAGTTCTCACTTTTGGACACTAAAGATGTTTCAAGTTTTCAAATAAGTGTTGCAACAAATATACAAAAAACTTGGGGTATACTTCTGATTAATTCCTTAGGATAAACTCAAGAAGTAGACTTAGTGAATGAATATGAATCTTTTTAAAGCCTTCCTGAAATATACCATTAAAGTGCCTTTCAAAATGGTAGCACCAGCTTTTTAATGAATTTTAAAATAAATTTATGAATCGTTTGCTCCTTTTAGTGCAACCAGATGCAATTTGAATAAGGAGACTAAGTTTCTTCGAAAACAAATAGCAGAATTAAAGTAAATAAATTGCACAGTCAAATTAATTGATAATTAAGCATGTTTTAATACATAATGGGCTTTACAGTCTACAAATTTGTTTCCCTGAGTTATATTTTGGGTTTCTGACATTACTGAATTTTGATTGTGTTTTTAATTAAAAGTCTGTATTCCAATTACAAATCATTGGTATTTAGAATCCTGATAAAAGTTACCTCTGAATCTAGGACATAGTGTCTAATGGCCACAACAGTGAACCATCTCTGTAAATGAATGCTACCTGGAGACAGAAACTCTCTTAAGACAAATCTGAAAAATCTGAGAAATGTTTTAAACAAAAAGTACAAATATTTTTTCAGTCATTCAAATGCTATTTTTATACTAAAACAAACCAAAAACTCCATGTCAAATAAAAAAAGGAGAGGGGAGAAAATCATAGGAAAAATTCTAAGAAAGTAAAAAGTAGGAAGATCAAAGCCAAAAAAAAAGTAGAAATGCTAAAACATTCCATAAATGAGAAAACTTAATATAACAGGAGCATTAACAGAGGTAACAATAGAGTCCAGTCAGCAGAAGGAGGTTGGAGTGAACAAGAAGAACCAAAACAATGGAATAATTAGATAGGAGAAAGTGAATAAACAACCAAAGATCATTTGCGTTACAATACAGTGTTATTTCTCTCTTTTGGCTACACAATTATTCAGCCACCTCAACTAAGTAGGACGTTGCTGAGAACTAGAAAACAAGGAGGGAAAGGTTCTGAAAATAGTCAAAACTAACAATCATACTACACAAGCTCAAGTGCTTCTCTCATAACAATCACTTTAAATCCTTATTTTAAATAGAATGCTAAGAGGTTTGGTTATGACTTCTCTGTCTGTAGCATATTAAAAGTAGTAGGTCAGAAGCAAGGAACGATTTCCAGAGAGTGGTACACTGAAAATACATACCATCATATTTGCCAGTGACAAAGGATATACACAAATCACCGCCGCCACCACCAACAACGAAAAACTCAAGAACTGAAAAAACACAATAGTCTCAAAATAGGAGGAGGAGGAATAGACAAATCAAGCTTTACAATTGGCCCTAAATCCTAAATGCATCAGAAAATGGCATCCTTAAGAGATGAAAATGTTAAAAGTATAATCAGTGAGTTCTGATTTCTTTCTTTCTTTTCTCTCTCTCTTTTCTCTTCCCTTCCTTCTGTCTCTCTCTCTTTTCCTTCCTCCTCTCCCTCCCTCCTTTCTTCTCTCTTTTTCTCTCTTTCTTTCTTTCTTCCTTGAGACAGAGTCCCACTCCATCACCCAGGCTGCAGTGCAGTGGCATGAACATAGCTCACTGCAGCCTCCAACTCCTAGGCTCAAGTGATCCTCCTGGCTCAGTTTCCCAAGGAGCTGGGACCTCAGGTATGTGCCATGCCAAACTAACTTTTAAAATTACTTTTATTTTTATTTATTTACTTTATTTATTTATTTATTTTTGAGACACAGTCTTACCCCGTCGGCCAGGCTAGAGTATAGTGGCACAATCTTGGCTCACTACAACCTCTATCTCCTGGGCTCAAGCAATTCTCCTGCCTCAGCCTCCCACGGAGCTGGGATTACAGGCATGTGCCACCATGCCCAGTTAATTTTTGTATTTTTAGTAGAGACAAGGTTTCACCACGTTGGCCAGGCTAGTCCCGAACTCCTGACCTCAGGGGATCCTCCCCAACCTCCCAAAGTGCTGGGATTACAGGCGTGAGCCACCACGCCCAGTTTTAAAATTACTTTTATAGATACATGGTCTCGCTACATTGCCCAGGCTGGTCTCAAACTCCTGGCCTCAAGTGATCCTCCCACCTCAGCCTCCCAAAGTGCTGGGATTACAGGCGTGAGCCACCACGCCCAGTCAAGTTCTGTTTAAAATGGAAGGGGCAGGCCACATTTTAATACATTTTAAAGTGGTTTCCACCCTGGAAGATTAAAAAGTAGAGACAGGCTTCCCTGCCCGAATATTTTACTTACGTTGAACATCTCAATCCCAAGCCAAGATAATTACAGTACAACAAAAATAATGAAACAGACCTACAACTGGCAGAGAAACAACAATTTTTAGCATGGAAAAGATAAATCATACTTGAAATCTACTTGAATCAGAAAAACACAGTGATTGGTAACCCAGCACAGTCCCTATCACATCCATCCAAACACTATTGCAATGATCTGGGGTCCTGAGCACGCTGACATGTCACCTTTGGCTTGGCCCATGGGCCTTTGTGCCACTTCAATCTTGGTCACTTTGTGTTCCTCCAAAAAGTTCAGAAGCCACATCTAAAAAAACTGCTATCACCTGGATCCCTTCCAAACCGAGAACTAGAATTTCTGCCTTTTCACGAACAGTTACAACACAGAACTGGAGTAATTTTAGTATTCAATCAACAATTTACATTTGACAAAATTTTAGGTATTTACTATGTGCCAGGTGAGCTGGCTCTATGTAAATATAGTAGACTGTAAAGAAACTTAAAGATTCCAGAGTCATCTAGAATACAGTTAATTTTCTGGTAATGTATTTCTCTACTACTGTATTTTTCAACTAGTCTCCCCAATATTAATAAAGATGGTATATATATTCTTTATCTAGATCATTAAAAAATCAGACAAGATTACAACTTTTCTTTGTGTTTGAATGAAATATACTTTCGTATATATTCTATTCCTCAGAAAAACGTCGTTTTTATATTTTACAAAAATATAAAAGAAATTTCAGCCCAAATAATATTTTGAGATATACCATGTGAAAAACCTCACAAGAATACTTAAATAAAACCATAATTTTTATTACCAAAAATATGTTCTACATTGCAGCTAATTTTGAAATGAAGATAAACTGGATAACAGTTGATCAAATACATTAAGATCTTTCTTTGGAATAGCTAAATCTGTATCTAGTGGGCCATCTAGCTTTCCAACTTTCAGTGTCATAGTAAAGTAAGAAAAAGCACAAAAAACAAATACACCTCTGAAGTAATCTTGCCCAAAAACCTGTATTAATACTTGAATCTGATCAAGCCTCTGTATCGTTCAATTTAAAAAAAAAAGCAGGGCACAGAGGAACATGGCAAGGACGCAGTCATCCAAATCCGGGCTCACAGGGTACTGCGCTACCCCATTAAGACTTCAGCCTCAACCCCTGAAAGCTGACATCCAGTTTCCTACTCCGTGGCTACTGCTTTATGGCACTCTGAACACTGTACTGAAATTACATGTGTGTCTCCTGCTACAGCACCCGTACCGGGGAGCACAATCACATAGCTCAGAACAAGGCTCTGACGTCTGAATTAAAACCCCAGCTTTGCCCCCGGGTTAACTCATTGATAAAAATGAAGAAAATATCACCTGCTGCTCAAAGGAATTTTAAGGATTCCATGAGAAAATATATGTAAAGCACCTAGCACAATTCTTGGCATATCTTAGGGAGTTAGTAACTAATGACTGAATAAATAAAAACCATAAGCAGCAAAATTAAATAGTGAATTTCATCTCTTTTGATTTCATCTAATCACCTTCTTACAGTATCTAATGAATGGTGAAATGCCAAAGTGACTAATGGTTAAAAAAAATTAGCAAACAAAACAGGAATATTTTTTAAAAACAGGTCATCAGCTTCTAAATAACTGTGGCTGACTCTAGGGTAGTAAGGAATAACGTAATCACAGCAAACATCACCTGATGAAGAATGGCGTTATTAAGAGCTAAACCAGACCAAACCTAGTAAAAGCAATCAAATTTACTTTAACGAAAAGTTCTCAATATAATCATTTTCAAGCATAATTTTAATAATGTGGAAAACATTTCCAAAATAAGTTTTTAAATGTCAGCATTACGATTCTGAGTCCTTTCAGTTTTCTCACTAAAACACACTAACAATAAATTAAATCAACCAACTTTTCCATCTGAACAGTAGGTGGCATAACTGACCTACTGTGGGCCAGCTGCTGCAGTGAGTGATAACGGTCATTTTTTTAAAAGCTCAGTATAACATCATTCAAAATTCTGACAATATTCATTTAAAAGTCCTAACTTGAAAATGACATTTTTCAAATAATATGAAAATACTTACATCTCAATTTGTCCAGCATTTTTCCACCACACATGGTTGCTAACATAGCTTTAACTGAAAATACCGTCAACTTGCCTCGGCCCTCACTGCAAAATAAATTATATTAGAAATAATTGCTATCTGAAACCACAAAAGGAGTCAAATGTATCACTAAATACTGAGCAACCAGTAAGTTGATTCCTGACCTTGTCTGTTACAATTTTATCACATTTGGAAACCCTGGATTTTTTTTTTTTTTTCTTCTTCATTTGTAGAATAAGACTTCTCCTATGCTAGGTGGCGAATGCTAAAGCTAGCCTGAATTTTCTGGAAGTAAGTTTTAGAAACACTCTATGTAATTTCTATTGGCTATGTAGCAGAGGTCAAATGGATGAACCTGAAGTGAGTTTCCTATTAAACCCATTAAATCCACAGCTGCAGTTCTCAAGTATTCAATACTGAGGGGCCACCTGGTTTGAATATAATTCAGAAAGATAACCTTACATCAGGATATTACAACGGTTTCTTGTTACATACTAAACAACAGGGTGCATCTTGCTATGAAGATTTTATAGTACACTCATCTTTGTTTTTACTGTAACAACCATTATGTTACCACGTGTTTATTCTAAGAAGCTCAATCACACCTGTCTCAGATCTTCTAATACACCACTGTGAGAAAAGTGAAGAGGAAGGGATGGTAACATTAATTCTTCTTTAGGAACTGGAAAGATGAAATGCAGAACATAAATGAATCACCTAAAGTAATGCTGCACACCACCAGCAGAACCAAGATAGTATCACCAAGGCCTCTGACCCACAGTGTCCATGGCTTCACTCATTCAACTATGCCCTGGTTTCACAGCAGATAAAAACTTCACTAGTTGGTTGTTAAAGTTACCACATGTAAGCCAAGAATGTGCTTTTTGTGTTAATTTTTAAAAGCCTGTGTTCACAATGTTTCATTGTAACTTAGAGTAAAATACTTTTGCAATAATGAGAGCTATACCATCTTTGTTTTGAAAAAGCAGGTATCATCCTGTTTATATCCACTAATGGTCCTAATACAGGGTTTCCCATTTTCCACAGAAAGATCACACCTGAAAAAAGGCAAATAGCCTATAAGCTAGAAAAGTATCCGTGAAAACACCACAAGGAAATATCAACATTTGTTACAGCTGAGCTTTTAACTATTACATCTCCTTGAGTTTATTCGTAAAACAAAATAGGAATGCCCGCAACTAGCTAAAATTAGAATGGGTTTTTTAAAATACATTGTTCTTCAGAAATAAAGATACAGCTCCATGTACAAGGCAATATGGCACCCAGAAACAAGGCATATTCCTGCATCAAATATCTACTGCATTATGTAAGAAAAGCTGATGGTTATAAGATAGATCACTAGGTTAAAAGGAATGGGTTTCTAAGACTGACACAGAGCTTTTACAGTGGACTTTCTTTTTTTACACCAAGCACTTGAATGCTGAGTCTACATTTAAGCACACCCTACCTTATGGGACAAGTAGACTTTCCACTACTGAAGTACAAAGAAGGAAAAAAAAAAAAAACCATATATTTGCTTTCTCATCTTTTTTTGAAACTAGGATAGGGGCACATAACAGAGCTCTACCAATAAAATGCACTATGCTAGATTTCAAGGGGGGAAATGATTAACTTGGGGAAGCAAGGAACTCCAGAAGAATCCACCTGGTGGGGATGGCAGCAGTTGGAGCAGCCACATCCAGTGCTCTGGGGCAGCAGAGATAATGATTCTTGGGGGCAGCACCCAGAGCCCAGTGTCAGTGGTGTTTGGAGCACAAGCAGCAAGGTCTGTGGCCAGAGAGGTGTCTTCATGAGAGTTCTGTGTAATGATTTTGCACTATGTTCCTGGCAGTGTAGTTTTCAAGCCTACTTTCCCAGCCTACTTACAGAACCTGTGGGTCACCCTTTTAATTAATTAGCCAGAGATGGTATCTATTACTGACACCTAAGAACTCTGATGGATACAGCTTCTAACCTGAAGTAAAGTGGCCCACAAAGATGAAGCAACAAAAGAAACTATTGCTGAAGTCCAGAGTGGGATTAAGAATGCCTGATGGGCTGGGTGCCGTGGTTCATGTCTGTAATCCCAGCACTTTGGGAGGCTAAGGTGGGCGGATCACCTGAGGTCGGGAGTTCAAGACCAGCCTGACCAACATGGAGAAACTCCGTCTCTACTAAAAATACAAAATTAGACAGGTGTGGTGGCGCATGCCTGTAATCCCAGCTACTCAGGAGGCTGAGGCAGGAGAATTGCTTGAACCCAGGAGGCAGAGGTTGCGGTGAGCTGAGATCGCACCATTGCACTCCAGCCTCGGCAACAAGGGCGAAACTCTTTCAAAAAACAAAACAAAACAAACAAACAAAAACTTGTTATACATGTTGCAACGCATAAAAATTTCCATAATAGAATGTATACACACACACAAACATTAAAAATACCAAGGCTTAGGCCTAACCCTTAGAGATCCTAATTATTTGGCCTGGGGTGGGGCGCTGGCATTGATAATTCTTAAAAGTTCCCCAGGTGATTCAAAACACAGCCAGAATTGAGAACCACTGACCCAAAACAAATCAACTTTATTTAAAAAAAAAAAAAGAAAAAAAAGACACAAGAGGAAAAGGGGAAGTGCATTCACATACACAAAATAGCCATGAAAGAAATACAAATGACTATTAAGTGCATGAAAAGGCACTGACTTTAATTAATTAAAGGAAAAGAAATCTAAAAAATAATGAGATACATCTGTAAATGTCCTAAGTTACTGTTTCCAAAGACTGTCCTCAGTCTAAGTAGTGTGAAGTCTGACTTAGGTGAAATACATTTTTGTTGTTGTTGTGTTTTTTGTTTTGAGACAGGGTCTCCCTCTGTCGCCCAGGCTGGAATATAGTGGCATGATCACAGCACACTGCATCCTCAACCTCCTGGGCTCAAGCGATCCTCCCGCCTTCGCCTCCTGAGTAGCTGGGACCACAGGCACGTGCCACCACACCTGGCTTGAAAGATTTTTAAAGACACAGTTTAGCTACACTTCCTTTTATTTTGTAATGTAATATTTATCACTTTCATAATTGATTACTTTTAAAAGAATCACTTTAAAGAGAGAGTATATGTGCCCGAAAAAAGTAAGTCATCTCTCTGGTTTTCCATAATTTTAAGCTCTAACCATGACCAACATTATGCCTTTAGTTAATTCCGTATGGTATCATCCTTTTTAACTTTTCATTAAAATATAACGAACATACAGAAAAGTGCATAATTCATGAATGAACTTTCACAAAATCTTCTCTCATGAACATTTAAAGTTCACTGAATGAACTTTCATAAAATAAACACCTAGGTAACTAACCAGCACTCAGGTCAAAAGACAGAACATTACTAGCACCCAGAAGCACCTCTTTCCTAAGCCCACTTCCCACCGTGGTAGGTTCTATCCTTTTGGGGTTGTTTTGTTTTGTTTTGTTTTGTTTTAGACAGAATCTCTCTCTGTCGCCCAGGCAGTGGTGTGATCTCGGCTCACTGTAACCTCCACCTCTTGGGTTTAAGTGATTCTCGTGCCTTAGCCTCCCTAGTAGCTGGGAGTACAGGTGTACACTACCATGCCCAGATAATTTTTTTTATTTTTAGTAGATACGGCATTTCACCATGTTGGCCAGGCTGGTTTAGAACTCCTGACTTCAGGTGATCCACCCACCTCAGCCTCCCAAAGTGCTGGGATTGCAGGCGTGAGTCACCGCACCCAGCCTGGTAACATCTATCCTGACTTCTAGTATCATAGGTCAGATTTGCCAGCAATTGAACTTCATATAAATGGAATCTTACAGTATGTACCCTTTTGTGTTTGGCTTCTTTCGCTCAACAAAATATCTGCAAGATTTATTATGTTGTTACATATATTAGTTCATCCTGCTATGCAGCATTCTGTTACATGAATATACTGCATTTTATCCATTCTCTTATTAAGGGATATTTTCAAACTCTCTATTTTAAACTATTCAATGAGCATGACAAACAAAACATGAGTCACTGCCTATATTATAGGTAGAAATAAATACTTGTTGACTTATTGATATTCCTTACTAAAAGAAAGAAAAAAAAGCTGCTTGTGAGTAAAGGTGAAACCAATGGCACAAGAACTGATAACATTCTAAGGATTATAATACAATCAGCCCTCAGTATCCATGGGGGATTGGTTCCAGGGCCCCTGCAGATATCAAAATCCACAGATATTCAAGTCCCCTCCAGAGCTGGCCCTCCATATCCGTGGGTGTCTGAATCCACACATGGGAACCTGCAGATACAGAAGGTCAAGGGGTACTGGCAATGCTGAGGAGTCTGAAAATAACCTAGAGGCAAAAGCACAGCACCTTGGAAATACCTTAAGGAAGAATGCCATCCTTAGGATCCTATCAACTTCTAAAGTGATTATATCTGGGAACTGTGGCGCATGCCTGTAGTCCCAGCTACTCAGGAGGCTGAAGCAGGAGAATCACTTAAGTCCAGGTATTTGGGACCAGCCTGGACAATACAGTGAGATCTCATCTCTCAAGAGAAAAATAATCATACAGTAAAATAAAGTGATTATTGTTGGTCTAATACTTAACAAAGGAATTATTTCTTTACTTAACAAAGAAAACATCTCTGGAATTATTTGGATAGACCAAGCAGAAGAATGAATGTAATTATTTCTTTCTCTCTATACCAAGTAGGCCCTTTATCAAAAGAGACAGCACATTATCTAAGCACAGAAAAAGGAGAGAAACAAAGGGGGCAGAAAACTGTTCCATTCTTTTCACACAGAATTTATACACTCAAGAAGCCTGAAATGATGTTTTCGAATACGCATATTCATAGTCATTTTTTGCAGCATGTTTCTAATGGCAAAAGACTGGAAATAATCAAACTGTCCATTAATAGAAGACTGCTATCATAAAAAGAATAAGAAATTACATATGAAAGAAAATTATATGCAAACCAGACTAAGGGGAAAAAATCAAGGTATAGAACAAAATAATTGTTAGAAGGTTATCTAACAACTATGTTAAAAAAAGAGGGAGAAAAATAATA